TCGAACTCACAACCCTGAGATCAAGAAGTTGCAGGCTGCACTGGCTGAGTCAGCCAGGTGCCCCCAAGATGAAAATTTTATTAAAAAAAAAAAAAATTATTAATTTTTATTTATTTATTTATTTATTTTAAAAATTTTTTCAACATTTATTTATTTTGGGGACAGAGAGAGACAGAGCATGAACGGGGGAGGGGCAGAGAGAGAGGGAGACACAGAATTGGAAGCAGGCTCCAGGCTCTGAGCCATCAGCCCAGAGCCCGACGCGGGGCTCGAACTCACGGAGCGCGAGATCGTGACCTGGCTGAAGTCGGACGCTTAACCGACTGCGCCACCCAGGCGCCCCAATTTTTATTTATTTTTAAGAGAGAGAAACAGAGACAGAGCACAAGCAGGGGAGGGGCAGACAGAGAGGGAGACACAGAATCCAAAGCAGGCTGCAGGCTCCAAGCTGTCAGCACAGAGCCAGACACAGGGCTTGAACCTACGAACTACGAGATCACAACCTGAGCGGAAGTCGGACACTCAACCGACTGAGCCCCCCAGGCTGAAAGATGAAAACTTACAAGCAAACACGGTACAGGGTCCTAAGGTATCGGGAGTTTGCCATGGAGGCACCACGGAGTTTTTACACCCCCCTGCTTCGTCTTGTCAAAACTAAATGTACTTCTTGACCCGCCAGTTTACCCCCCAAATACTCACACGGAACCAGGCAGGTCTGCATATTGTTGCATCGTTTGCAATGGGAAAAAAGAAGGCACGAGCCCAAACGTGGGTTCCTAAGTTCTGGAGACCGTGGCTGTGGGAAGACAGGCTGCAGAGCGACAGGACAGCCCTTCCCTAAGGCCCTCTCCTCCTCTAACCCCGGGGCTGGGCGGTGGCCACGGAGGGTACCCCGGCTCAGCATCCCTGAGCGACGGCGGCCAGGCCCCGACCACCCAGGCCCGACAGGCACGCGCTATGGACACACCCGTGGCTCTGGTGTGTGTTCTGCCCGGTGCCACGCACTGGGGTGTGACAGCAGAGAGCCCGCTGTCCAGCAGGGGCACGTGTGTGTCCAGAGTCTGAGCACCACGGGAGCCCAGGGCCTAAGCCCAGCTGGGATCCCGGAGACTTCTCCTCCTGGGCCATGGTCCCTTGTAAGTGGGGACGGTGGGGACAGCCACCCCGGTGGCCCAGAGTTGGCTTGAGACAGGAGTGCTGAGTGTAAGGGAAGGGGATCCTGACGCTGGGTTGGCACCCCCAGCTACGGGCCCCCCCCCCCAGCTCCCAGGTGGGTCCCGCACCCCGACGGGTAACCCGCCCCGCAGGAGCGCCCAGGCCTCGGATCAGGGTGCTCAGTAGGGGCACCACCAGAGGCCCCGTCTCCGGTCCGGGCCCTGCTGGGCAAGTGCTCCTCCAGCAGCCGGCCACTGTCTGGAGGGAACGGGGTGCTCTGCCGGAATCTTGCCCCCCCCCCCCCTCCGCAGTACACGCAGAGATGGGCGGAGACAGAAAGCAGCCAGGGTTCCACGGGGTTCCATCTCCGTTGCGATGACGCGGGGAAGCAGGGTCGCGAGGGGCAAAGAGGTTGGACGGACCGGCCCTCGGGTGCCGGGGACCCCGCACGAAGCCCGGTCTGGGCTCCACGGCCGGGGCGGGCGGCACCCACACTGCCCCAGACCCGCCCCTCGAAAGGGGCCCGCGCCTGGCGAGGCAGCTGTGTCTGTCACCCCCCACGCAGGCTGTGGGCCCCGGGGTCTCCGGGCCCCGGGGCGAGCCCAGGCCATGCGACCCAGGGGCCCGCGTCTGAGGCGTGCCGGGTCAGGTGTCTCGGGGGGGGGGGGGGGGGGGACCAAAGGTGCCGGTGAGCCGCGGGGCGCCCTGCCGGGGTGCGCGCTAAGGGACCTGCCGGGCAGCAGGGGAAGGCTGCCGCCGGGTGTGCACACATGTGTTCTGGAAAATCCACAAAATGGAGAACCGAAAGTTGGCCCTTCTCCCAGGCAGCCTGGCCCATGGGCCATACCAAGCAGAAAGGAAGGGGGGCGCATCCTGGAATGTACCACAGGCTTCCCCCCATCACCGCCCCGGCCTGGCCCCACCCCCCCCCACCGCTGCCCCCCCCCCCCCCCCCCCAGTCTAGAGGCTGAGGGTGAGCCTTCCCAGGGCTCCACATGGAAAGAGGAGACAGCGGAGCCCGGGGCCACAGAGGCCTGCCTTAGTTTATCCCTTCCAAGCAATGGGCAGGACCAGGGGAGAAAAGCAGGGTGAGCACTCCCCAAGGGCCGGTGCTATTCAAGTCAGACTGAGAACAGCCACCTGCCTCAACCCAGGTCACCACTGTGCCCTGTGCATGGCCAGGGGGTGGGGCAAACACTGAAGCTTTCAGAGTCCTTTCTATGAGACTGTCATGTGGAACTAGCATTGCGCGCGATATATCCAAGTCCTCAACTGCTGACTCTTAAGTTGAGAGTCCTCCCTGGACTTTAACGAGGGGAGGCGGGGTCTTGGGACCTCGGTAAAGAAGGCAGTGGAGTTCCAAGAACTGCGACAGTACAGAGTCTGGGGACAGACCACTCACACTCGTACGATAAAGGCAACACTTCGCCCACTCATGCCCTGTCTCTCTCTCTCTGTGTCAAAAATAAATAAACATGAAAAAAAAATTTTTTTAAAAAGGCAACACTTCAGTAGGGGCAGGAGTGGCCTCTGCCAGAAATGGACTTGGGGTGAACGATTGGGGGGGGGACACGTTGCTGGTTCCCACCGCACTCCTTCCCAGAAGCACTTTCCAAAATTACACCAAAAATTTAAATCTATAGTTAAAAAAGAAACCATTACATTTCGAGAAAAATACATCCAATGTTCATCATCTTGGAGTAGAGAAAATATTTCTGAGCATGACACAAAATGAAGGAGCCATAAATGAAAAAAAAACTAGTAATAATGATTTCAAATGCTTGGCCAAATGACTATGAATTTTTTAGAAATCAAAGGAAAAAAAAAGAAATCAAAGGAAAAAACACAGTCGGAGTCAAAAACAAATTACAGATTGAGGGGGAAAAAAAACTTTAAACAGGAAATAGGCTAATTTCCTTCATATGTAAAGTGCTCTTAGAAAACAATAACACCACCGACCCAATGGAAAAATGGTTGAAGAATATAAAATACACATGGCTTGTAAACGTATACATGTTGGGACGCCTCGGTGGCTCAGTCGGTTTAAGCGTCTGGCTTCGGCTCAGGTCATGATCTCATGGTTTGGGGGTTTGAGCCCCACGTCGGGCTTTGTGCTCACAGCTCAGACCCTGGACCCTGCTTCAGATTCTGTGTCTCCCTCTCTCTCTGCCTCTCCCCTGCTCGTTCTCTCTCTCAAAAATAAACATTAAAAACATTAAAAATAAATAAATATATATATGTTTATATGTACAGACTTTCCAGTTTTGAAATGACTATATTAGAGGTAGAAATACCATAAAAATAAATCTGACAAAACCACTGAGATGTTTGATTGTACTTCTAGGAAACCCAAACAAAGCTACGATGAAATACTACTTTGGGGCACCTGGGTGGGTGTCAGTTAAGTGTCCGACTTCAGCTCAGGTCATATCTCACAGTCCGTGGGTTCCAGCCCCAGGTCGGGCTCTGTGCTGACAGCTCAGGGCCTGAAACCTGCTTAGGATCCTGTGTCTCCCTTTCTTCTCTGCCCCTCCCCCGCTCACATTCTGTCTTGCTCTATCAAAAAAAAAAAAAAAAAATAAATGTAAAAAAATAAAAATAAAAAAATACTATTTTACGCCTACCAGATCTGCAAAATCAAGCATCAGGTGCAGGACCCTAGGCCCCTCCTTTGGTGGTGGGAGGCAATTTGGTATGACCTGTTGAGAGATCACACAGGCATTTAGAGACCTACGGAAAGCCCTTTGACCTAGCACTCCTGCACTAAAGAATTTAGCCTACAAAAACATTCCTACTTGGGTACAAAGACTTTTGTACAAGGATAATCGGTCTAGCATTGCTTATTACAAAAAGCCTAGAAAGAACCTAAATTTCTACCCAATTATAGGACTAACACAATATGGTGCTTCAATGCAAACAAACGACCTAGATCTCTACGTCAGAACACAAACAATGCTCTCCAAGCTATGCTGAGTAACAGGATCCCATGTACAGTGGGCAGAGTTTTGTATAAATACACTGGATGTACAAACATAGATTTTCTGTGTTAACATATAAGAAACTGCCCCAGGAAAGGGGAGCCAGGTCTTGGAGGTCAGGGGTCGGAAGGATGCCAAGTTTTCACCCAACACCGTTACAAACTCCAAATTTTTTACTCTGTGTATCTGAAAACGTGTTTGTTCCAATTCTAAGCAAATTGCTTTCAACTTGATGCATTTGTGGATCCCGGACTCTCAGGGAGTTTGCATTCTGATGGGATCAAAAGACAACATGCTCTGTGACAAGTGCAGCACCTCGGGGTGGGGGTGGGGGAGCACGAGGGGACGGATGCACTTTGGGGAAGAAATACTGTAGCAAGAAACATTAGCCATGCTGGGGTCATCCGCACGAAGCCGGGACGCAGTGAGGGCATATCAGTCACAAAGACCAACCCGAGCAAAGGCCCTGTGGTGGCAAGGGCGGAGGAGAGCTGGGCCCCTAGACTACTCCAGCGAGTACACATCTCACGTCCAGTTTTGCTTGTAGGCGTCCCTTCTTAGCACAAATGACACTAGACTCCCAGCAAGAGGGCCGGGCCTGGGCTCCACCGGCAGGGTGGGCCCCGAGAGTAGCCTGAAGGGGGTGGGGGGGACCCCTCGCGCCATCGGCGGCCGGTCACCCCGCCACGGTGGCAGCAGCCTGCGCGCTCTGAGCACCCCGAGCCCCGAGTCCCACAGGCGCGCGGCCCCGCTCGGCGTCCATTCCGCTGGCCCCGGACACGCCCGCTCCGCGCGTGGGGAAGACGAGGCCCGCAGGAGGACGCGGGAGCCGGGCGGGCTGCCGGGGTCCGAGCCGCCGCCACTTACCACCGACGCCGCCACCTCCTCCGGGATCCGGCCGCCGCCGCCGCCGCCGCCGAGCGCGCGAAAGCCGCCTCTTCCGTTTCCGCCCTGGCCACACCCCTCTCGACCACACGTACAGGTCGCCCCGCCCCTGGACCGAAGTACCTCCCCCCACCCCTTAAAGGGGCCGCGAAACCCACGAAGCCCCGGACTAGGGCGATGTGGAAGCAGCTCTGGGTCCTGGCCTCGCCACCGCCTGGTGCCGCAACACACGCTGAGCTGCCAGGAATGACAGGCCTTCCCGCTCTAGGGTGGCGCAGAGGGCACTCCAGGAGCTGGTGGTGAGTGGGCCTCTAGCTGAGGTCCAGGGAGACCCTGGCTCAGCCCTGCATTCAATGACACCCCAGGAGGACATAGCTCGGATGGCCCCAGCCCTAGCCCCGTTTCCTGGAGAGCCCCTTACTGGGGCTCTCTGTGGGGGTCCGGGAACGGGGAATGAGGGGGGGGGTTATAGGGAACACCTAGGATGGGCGGGACAATTAGGGCAGCCCTGAGGTTGCACTGTATCTCCCAGACCTCAACATCCTCTTCTACTACATGGGAACGGGTGACCTTACCGGGGTCCCAGAACTGGCTGACCTCAGACCCACTGTTGCCACCCCTGGTATGCTGGGAGCCCACCACCCTCCCAGGAGGCGCACCGGAGAAGGCAGGCACGGGTCCCGGGTTCAAATGCTGCCTTACGCCTCCATCACCACCCAAGCAACCAGGAGCCTCAAGGGGTACCTCGGCTGGGCCTCAAAGCCCAACCCCTCTTCCACAGTGGCAGTGGCTTGACCTCTGCATTTGTGCCGAAATGTCCTGGAAGTTTAGGGGCGAAGCCCAGCTCCCTCTTCCAACTCGCTGGGCCCTGGGAGAGCGCGCACGAACCACGAAAGGGAGAGGAATCCTAAAATTTTAAATCTTTAATTTGTGTTCACGTTTTTCCTTCTTTTTGCTTCCAAAAGGAAGGGAGAGCGTAGCTCCGCGCCTGTACATCGTCCACGGCCCCTGGGCTGGGGCAGGTCCCGGCCCCCTAACCCTCCAGCTGCCTCGGAGGACCGGGGTGCCCGAGGGTTCACATGCAGCCCCCGGGGCCGGGGCGGGGGCAAGGTCCAGGCGCCGCCTTATTGCTGAAGTCCCGGTGCGGCTCCCGGCTAGGCTAGGCGGCTCCCGGCTAGGCTAGGCGCGCTGGCTGGGCAGCTCCTGGGAGATGAAGCGGCGCAGGCGCTCCAAGTACTGGCTGTAGAGCTCGATGTCGTTGTGCCCGGCGCCCTCCACCCACAGCGGCTCCACGGCCTTGGGGCAGCGCTCATAGAGCGCCAGCCCGTGGGAGAAGTCGATTACTTCGTCCTCCGTGCCGTGGATGATGAGCACCGGTGACGTGATCTTGGACACCTTCTCGATGCTGTAGGGCAGGGCGCGTCAAGTCTGGGAGGAGCGCCCGCCCCGCCGAAGCCCCCCCCCCGGCCTCCCGCCCCGCCCCCCACCCTCCCCTCTCTCACTTGGGGAACGCATCGAAGCAGTAGGTCTTCTTGGTGTCAGGGAAGGCAACGCGCATGCCTGAGGTGAGCGGCGAGTGCAGCACCACTGCAGCGCACTCGTAGCGAGAGGCCAGGTCCACGGTGGGCACCGTGCCGATGCTCTGCCCATACAGGACGATGCTGTCCGGGCTGATGCCGTACCTGGCAGTGGGGCAGGATCAGCCGCGGCCAGCAGCAGCCTGGGCGAGTGAGCTGCATGTGCGCGCGCGCACCCCCCCCCCCCCCCCCCCCCCCCCCACTGCCTGCCCTCCTGGGGCAGTCCCCCCTCCAACCTTCCTGCACAGCCTCCAAGCAGTAGGGTTGGGCCCAGTGACAAGCCCCCTACCCCCACCCCTGTCCCCATTAATGAACAAGTCTGCTCAGTAGGAAAGTAGGGCCTGGGTAGGTGTGCAGACAGGTGGCCCTAACCCTGCCTCACCAACAGTACCAATCTGGACCACACATGCCGAGTGCCCTTGGTGAGGGCCCCAAGGCCACGCCTGGGCTCCTGGGGGCAGGGCAGGCCCTGAGGCCTCTCCTGCTCTCCACCCCCCAACACCTACCCCCCCCCCCCCCCCAACAAACACACTTGCCCAGGGACACACCCACTTCCCAGTAGCACATAGGGAACAGGTCCCTCCTGGCATTCCTCGCCCATCCGTTAGCCATGGGAAATCATGGCAGTCATGCCCCCTGACTTATCGGCCCGTTTGCAGCCCCTTGGTTGCAGCCCCTTGGTGTCGGCACGTCCACCTTATGACGACACAGGCAGAGCAGGAAGAGTGTCTCCTGCAGGCTGGTGGGCACCACCTCCTTCTCGGGGCACCTTCCCTACAGCGTGGCCGGGTCCCGAGCCTCCTCCGCACCAGCTCCCACGTCCAGGCCCCAGCCTCCTCCCCCACCCTGCCACCATCCCCAAGAGTCTCACCCTCCACCCCCAGCACAGCTGATCCAGCCCCAAGACAACTCCACAGCCTGCAAATGCCCGTTCCCATCTGCCTGGGGACCCACTAGCCACCCTCCCCAGGTACGAGGCCTCCACAGACCTGGACCCCGACATACCAAGGGAACACCCCTCTGCCACATCTCACCTGTGCAGCCCACCCAGGCAGCAAGAGTCCACCTCCCTGTCCACCCAGGGGCCATCCACACCTGTCTCTGTCCCGGCGGCCTTCCAGGTTAACAATCGCCTGGCCCTGAGCTTCAGGAATGCCACGTGGCCTTCTGCCTGCCACCCCGCCGCTCCTCCTCAGCCTGCTCCCCGGACACGGAAGCTACCACTGCACTGAGCACCAGCCAGTCCAGCCCTAACACTCGGACACACGAGAGGCAGACGGAGAAGCAAATCTTCCCCAGGCCTCCCCAGCCCCTGGTCACCAGTGGGGCCCAAGCCTCCTGCCCTCCTACTGATTCTCTCTCTGTGGGATCAGGTCTCTGGAGGACACTGCTGGCCGCAGGACAGATGGGCTGGATGGACAGAGCTCAGATCCCTCACACCACAGTGCAGTGTGGTTCTGCCAGCCACTAGCAGCCGGCAGGAGCAGCAAAAGGGACTGAGGACCAGCACCACCGGCAGGAGCAGCACAAGGGACTGAGGACCAGCACCGCCGGCAGGAGCAGCACAAGGGACTGAGGACCAGCACCGCCGGCAGGAGCAGCACAAGGGACTGAGGACCAACACCGCCGGCAGGAGCAGCACAAGGGACTGAGGACCAGCACCGCCGGCAGGAGCAGCACAAGGGACTGAGGACTAGCACTGCCGGCAGGAGCAGCACAAGGGACTGAGGACCAGCACCAGCAGCAGAAGCAGCACAAGGGACTGAGGACCAACACCGCCGGCAGGAGCAGCACAAGGGACTGAGGACCAGCACCAGCAGCAGGAGCAGCACAAGGGCCTGAGGACCAGCACCGCCGGCAGGAGCAGCACAAGGGACTGAGGACCAGCACCGCCAGCAGGAGCAGCACAAGGGACTGAGGACCAGCACCAGCAGCAGGAGCAGCACAAGGGACTGAGGAAGCCGAGGACAGCACGTACCTGCACCATGCTGCCCACGCTTGGTCCCCAGTGCCAGGGCTGTGCCAGGGGACCCCACTCCTGGGGCCTGCAGCAGGAACTGCCTGGTGCATCACTTGGGCAACCAGGGTCCCCACCTCCCCAGGCCAAGCTGACTTTGGTCCCTGCAGGAATGGTGGGGGGGGGGGGGG